GGTCAGTTGTGGGGCTTGAACTCTGGACCTGGGCGCTGTCCCTGAGCTCTTCAGATCAAGGCTAGTGCTCTTCCACTTGAGCCACAGTGCTACTTCTTGGCTACTTTTTTTGAAGACCCTTTTTCCAGGCTTTTTTTTTGGGGGGGGGAGGGGCAGTATTAAGGTTTGAAATAAACTTTTTGTTTGAAGACAGGCACTCTACCACTTGAATCACATGGCCAGATTTGATACGTTAATATTTAATTAGTCTGGGGCTGCAGTTGTAGCTCAGTGATGTGCTTCTTCAGAATGCCCCAGACCCTGGGTTTAATACTCAACATAAATAAGTCTACTTGAACTTAATTTTGGTATAATATGTGAGCAGAAATTGGATTTATCTAACATTTTTGTTTTTTTCCTATATGGATTATAGCCAGTAGTCCCATAACTTACTGATTCCATTAAGCACTTGAGTAGGTTATCAAAATAGTTGCTAAAATAGCAAATTATTTAAGATACATACATTTAATAAGTTATTTAGTCAAAGTGTAGAGAAGATGAAGAACTTAGTACCTATACATAAAATCTTAGGAAAAAAAATCTTACTGGCCTAAATTGGCTGTCACCATGGATAGAAGCTGTCAGTCTTGTAAAAAAGATTACAGCAGTGAAGAGGGCTATATTTCAGAGTAAGTCTGGGATTTTTTTTTTTTTTTTTAAAAAGGAGGCAATCAACGGGCAATGCTTGGAACATTTTTATTAAAATACAAAAGGATGAAGCTAAGTAGAAAAACATAGTAAATATTTATAAAAACACTGATAATATCACTCAAGAAACACATATACCAATCTAGAAAGGTCTTAAAATCAGAGTTCAACATTCTCTAGAAATCTGTTCTGGGAGACAGGGACTCAAGGCAGCAAAGGGGACAAGTCAAGAGTTGACAGTCAAACAACTGGTCTAATTTTCTTAATACTGCTGACTATAAGTTCCTTCAGACATAGGGTGGTTTTCTTCAGCACATGATGTTCAGGATAGGAGCAATTTCTCATTGTTTAAACAAAAATCACTTAAAAGGACAAATAATATTTGTACTAAAGCTATCAAGTTCTACTTGGTAGAATATTATCTATAAAATTAAGATGAAACAATAAATTATGCTACCTCCTATTTAGTAAAAACAGGGAAGGAGGCAGAGTAATACTTAAGTAAAATGGCTCCAGTTTTAGCTTAATATTTTGATAATTTTTTTTTTTTTGCTGAAGTGACCATATAACTTGAGTCTAGAAGAATATGAAATCTGATTTTAATCAAAGAAAACAGAGAAAGCACAGACAAAGTAGAGAAGAAAATAATGCTCACAAGGTGATCATTATTTAGACAGTACACTATATAAGAAGCTAAGGGTCTATGGACTCTATTCACTTTACTTTGTTAGTCTTGTGTACAGTATTCGGGAGAGGAAATTAAGAACTTCAAGTAACTTAAAAACCAGTCTTAGGCGGAATGAGACCATTCACATTTTAAAACAGGTCATCTTCATCTGACTCTTCAAGGTACTTGATAGGTTTCTTGGCTCGTACAGACTTTGCCCGAGGAGCCACAGCTGAGTCAAAGTCCAGAAGGAACTCATCGGTCTCCCCTTTGGGTTTCTGAAAAGAAAATGCAAACCATTTGTATAATATAAATTCAATAGTATAATTTCCAAATCACAAGGAGTTTTCTATCTTCTAAGTAGTAAAGGATTGTCCAAAATTACTGTTTAACAGTTGACTGATTTAAATTTATTTTCTTAAAAGTATTGAAAAGAGCAAAAGCTTAGGTGTTTTAAAACGTCTATAGCAAAGGCCTAGGGATAAATACCTTGCTTGTGGCTGCTTTAGAAATGATTTTCTCAAAATTAGAGTCAGAATCATCAGAAGTGGATGGCTTCCTTTTGCGGCGAGTCTTGTTCTTGGCAGGGTCAGGCTTTTGAGAGTTATCAGAATTTAAGGCTGGATCTGTTTTGGTTTTTTTGGGAGCTGCCCTTTTTTTGGTACCAGCAACAGAGGTGGAAGACTGACCTGCAAGTCAGCACGAGAAATCATTACCATCACTCTTTTCTTGGTGCTATTACTAGGGCTTGAACTTTAGGCAATGAGCTCTTCCTTGGCTTTTTCACACATGGCTGACACTCTACCTTTTGAGCCATGCTTCCCTCAGATGCTGGGCACGATGGCTCACGCCTGTAATCCTAAACTACTCAGGAGGCTGAGATCTGAGCATCATGGTTCAAAGTCAGCCCAGGCAGCAAGGTCTGTGAGACTCTTATCTCCTATAAACCACCAGAAAACTGGGAATGATGCTGTGGCTCAAGTAGTAGAGTGCTTGCCTTGAGCTGAAGAGCTGAGGGACAGCGCTTAGGCCCAGAATTCAAGTCCCACAAGTAACCCCCCCAACCAAAAAAAGGGTCCTTCAGAAATGGAGGAAAGGTGAACACAACGTAGTCAAATGCAAGTTGTAGGGAAGAATGGAAGAGGGAAACTGAGGGAAAGTAAAAGAAGGGGTGTCCAAGAAAAATTGTTATTACCTGCTTTATATGGAATTGTAACCCCTTTGTACAACTCTTCTTTTTTTTGGTTTTTTTTTGCTGTTCCTGAGACTTGATCTCAGGGCCTGGGCTACCTTTGAGCTTCTCTGTGCTCAAGACTACCACTCTACCACTTGAGCCATAGTGCAATTTCCAGCCTTTTCTATGCTAGCTCTGACCCGAGATCGCAAATCTCAGCCTCCCGAGTTAAGTAGGATTATACATATGAATCACTGGCACTGGGGCTAGCACAAGTGAAGGTTAAAATTGACTTGGGGCAGCCAGTCAGTTAATCCTAAGGTCAACTAATCTTTTTTTTTTTGGGTCGGGTCATGGGGCCTGAACTCTGTGCCCAGGTACTGTCCCTCAGCTCTTCAGCTCAAGGCTAGCACTCTACCACTTGAGCCACAGCGCCACCTCCGGCCTTTTTTTTTCTGCTTATGTGGTGCTGAGGAATTGAAACCAGGGTCTCATGCATGCAAGGCAAGCGCTCTACCACTGAGCCACATTTCCAGCCCCAAGGTCAACTAATTTTAAAGATTTAAGCTTACTTTTTGTTGTTGTCTTCTTCACTGTCACATTCTTTTTAGAAGGTTGAGTTAGAATTTCAATTTTAGCTGGTAAGTCAGCAGATGGAAGGCTTGAAGAAGGGGCTACATTTTCTTCAGCATCATCCAAGTTAACTACTTCAAGTGGAAAGAAAAACAATTCATATAGATAACATAGGAAATCCATGAGACCACCTTGTCCTTATGAGCTTCTTTTTAAACACTTTTCTGGACTATATTAAACATTTGTTCTAATTTTAAGTTTCTTCCTTCCTTTCTTCTTTTTTTTTTGCCAGTCTGGGGGCTTGAACTCAGGGCCTGGGCACTGTCCCTGAGCTTCTTTTTGCTCAAGACTAGCACTCTGCCACTTGAGCCACAGCGCCACTTCAGGCTTTTTTTGTTTATGTAGTACTGAGGAATGGAACCCAGGGCTTCATGCATGCTAGGGAAGCACTCTACCACTAAGCCACATTCCCAGCCCCAGGTTTTTGTGTGTGTATGTGTGTGTGTGTTTGTGTATGCCAGTACTAGGACTTGAACTCATTCAGGGCTCTACATTATATCTTGGTGATCTAGCACTTGAGTCATGCCTCTAGCTCAATTTTTTTCCTTGATGCCTGTCCTGGGACCTGAACTCAGTGGCACTGTCTTGGGTATCCCTGAGCTTCTTTTTGTTCAAGGCTACCACTTGAGCCACAGCTCCACTTCTGGCTTTTTGGTAGTGTATTGGAGACAAGAGACTCATGGGTGGGGCGATGGTAGATCACACCTATAATCTTAGCTACTCAGGAGGCTGAGATCTGAGGATCTTGGTTTGAAGCCATTCTGGATAGGAATCCCTGTGAAACTCTTATTATTTCCTCCTCCCACCCAAAAAAATGTTAAGTGGGCTGTGGCTTCAGTAGTAGAATGCTGGCCTTCAGCACAAAAGCTTAGTGACAGTACCTAGGCCCTGAGTTCAAGTCCCAGGACTGGCAAAAGAGTCTCATGCGATTCCTGCTGGGGCTGTCTTTTTTTTTTTTTTTTTGGTCTGGTCGTGGGGCCTGAACTCTGGGCCTGGGCACTGCCCTCAGCTATTCAGCTCAAGGCTAGTGGTAGAGTGCTACCACTTGAGCCACAGCGCCACTTTCGGCTTTTTCTGCTTTTGTGGTGCTGAAGAATCAAACCAAGGGCCTCGTGCATGCAAGGCAAGCATTCTACCACGGAGCTTCTTTCCCAGCCCCCTTATGTTGATTTATAAGTAAAGTATTTGGATAATGTAGCCAGATTTAGAACCTAGTTGGACCTGAGTGTCCCAGCAGAAGAGATACCTTACTGCTTTTACTTAAACACATACCTGAAGTGGCACTTTTCTGTGGCTTCAGTTCTTTTTCAGTATGTCTAGAATAAAAAGATAATGTATTGACAATCAATTCTAAGTATCAACAAACAAAAAGCAACAAAGAATGCATTATCTGTTAAAAGCATGGTAAAATATGTATTAAGAGGGTTAGAAACATGGCTGAAATGGTAGAGTGCCTGAGTCCAAACCCAGGTATGCTACAACCAACCAACCAACCACAAAAACTCCATGTTAGTAAGATTCTTACTTTGGGGGAGCTTTGGTCTTAGGTGGACTAGCATCCGATGGGACAAAATCTTCATCTTCAATTTTTTCATCAAAATCTGAAAAATCTTCATCTGAATCCAAATCCACTGTGAATTTGGATTTTGCTGTTAAACATATATGCAAGGAATTAGAGAGGGCACGAGACACATTTAATTCAAAGACTGATGTAACATTTCAAGGATATGTAGGCTTCAGTTTAATCACCTAAACATGCTTCAATTCTTCAAAATATTTAGTGAAACCTACTGCTCTAAAGGCTAATTTCTGGGATTAAGCAGGGAAGTCATTGGCCATTCAAATCTTACAGCATGTACAGTACATTCTAAAGTTTGTCTTACTTGCAGCTCTCCGTGGCTCTATTTCTCGTGGAGGAACATCAAAATTACTTTCAGTACTACTCATATCTGATTCTGAATCTGACCAAGGGTTTTTCTTCTTTCCTTTTTTGACAGGTTTAAATGGCAATGTAGTTTGTTTCTTTGCCTTGGCACCTAGAGGCAAGATAAAATTAAAAACCTTATATATATATATACCCTTAGATTCCTTCCAATGTTTGTTTAGGTACCTGTCCTGGGGTTTAAACTCAGGGCCTCGACACTGTCCCTGAGCTTGCTTTTATGTACGTATGTACGTCTTGCCATGGGGCTTGAACTCTAGGCCTGGGTGCTGTCCTTGAGCTCTTCAGCTCAAGGCAGGGACTCTACCACTTGAGTCACAGTGCCACTTCCGGTTTTCTGGTGGTTGACTGGAGATAAGAGTCTCAAAGACTTTCCTGCCCAGGCTGGCTTTGAACTGAAATCTTCAGATCTTAGCCTCCTGAGCAGCTAAGATTATAGGTGTGAGCAACCAGTGCCTGGTTTCCCTGGGCTTTATTTGTTCAGGACTAATGCTCTATCACTTGAGTGACACCTCTACTTTGGGCTTTTTTGGTAGTTTAGTGGAAACTCTTAGGGCTTTGAACCCTGATCCTCAGATTTCAGGCTTACAGGTGTGAACCACTGGTGTCCAGCTCCAATGTTTATTGATTACGGCAATGGTACTTACGATATAATGTGAGCAGAAACACATATAGTTCCTGTTCTTTATTTTGATAAGTTGTGGGGCTTGAACTCAAAGCCTGGGTGCTGTTTCTGAGCTTTGTTGCTCAAGAATAGTGCTCTACCACTTGGAGCCTCAGTGTCACTTGTTTTTCTGGTGGTTAAAACTGCAATCTGGATCTTAACCTCCCAAGTAGCTAGGATTATAGGCATGACTCATCACTTCCCCAGCTTCCTTGAGCTGTTTTTGCTCAAGGCTGGTGTTTTACCACTTGAACAACAGTTCTACTTCCAGATTTTTGGTTAATTAACTTTCCTGCCTTGGCTGATCATTGTAGGGACTTAAAGAAAGGGTGAAATCGGTGTAGGTCCTTCTAGATTATAAAGGTTTTATGGAAGAGATAATTGGGAGCCAGATGCTGATGGCTCAGACCTATAATCCTAGCTACTCAGGAGGTTGAGATCTGAGGTTCAAACCCAAACCAGATACACAAAACTGAAAGATTCTTCCTTCAGTTAAGCACTAAAGAGCAAGAAGTGGAGTTGTGACTTAATTGGGAGAGCACCAGCCTTGAGCAAAAAAGCTAAGTAAGAATGCAAGGCTTTGAGTTTAAGTTCCAGTATGGGAGAGAAGAGAGAGAAGAGAAAGAGGGAAGGAGACAGGGAGGGAGAGAGCAAGAGAGCGAGAGTGAGAGCAAATGAGTGAGAGACAGAGGGAGAGATGGAGAGAGGGAGAGAGAGAGAAAGAGATCAAAGGGGTAGGGTGAGAAGATTCAAGAGAAAGAAAAAAGAAAAGTTGGGTTAGAGTCATGGCAAGACTAAGGTTAGATGTTCTAGAGGGGGAGAAGAAAAATGAGCATGTAATACAGATGAGACAAAAAGAGAAGTCTCTTTAACTAGGTTTTAATTTTTTGACCAGTCCTGGGGCTTGAACTCAGGGCCTGAGCACTGTCCCTGAGCCTCTTTTGCTCAAGGCTAGCACTTTACCACTTGAGCCACATTGCTACTTCTAGCTTTTCTGTTTATATGGTACTGAGAACTAAATCCAGAGCTTCATGAATGCTAGGCAAGCACTCTACTTCTAAGCCATATTCCTAGCCCCTAACTAGGTTTTTATATTAGGAAATAAATGCCATTTATAAAATATTGTAATACCTGGTTCTCTTTTCTGTTTCTTCTCCAATCTTTCTTTTAGGCTTTCTATTTCCATCCCATCCTCCTTAGCCTCAGTGTTTTCACTCTAAAAGACAGATTAAAAAAAAAACAAACAGAAAGCATAGCAAGAAAAAAATGCTTATTAAAAATTTATTCACAATTCTTTCTTTTAAAAAATTTTTAATGGTTATTTTTCCTTTTGTTTATTAATTTCATGTGTATATGGTACCAAGGAATTGAGCCCAGGGCCTCATGCATGTGAGGCAAACACTCTACCACTAAGCCACATTCCCTGCAATTTTATTAAGAGAAAATACCAAAGTACAATATGGTCAAAGAGTATTTTTTTTGGTTTTTAAGAGGTCAGAAAGGGGCTGGGAAGGTGGCTCAGTGGTAGAGTGCTTGCCTTGCATGCATGAGGCCCTGGGTTCGATTCCTCTGCACCACATAAGCAAAAAGAAAAAAGCCAGAAGTGGCGCTGTGGCTCAAGTGCTGGAGTGCTAGCTTTGAGCTGAAGAGCTGAGGGACAGCGCCCAGGCCCAGAGTTTAGGTCCCATGACTGGACAAAAAAAAAAGAGGTCATAAAGGAGTGGCATTTTTGAAAAAAATATACTTATTTTTATTTTTTTCTAGTCCTGGGGCTTGAACTCAGAGTCCTGGCACTGTTCTGAGCTTCTTTTGCTCAAGGCTAGCACTCTACCACTGAGCCACAGCACCACTTCTGGCCTTTTCTGTTTATGTGGTGCTGAGGAATGAAACTCAGGCCTTCATGCATGTTAGGCAGGCACTCTACCACTAAGCCACATTCCCAGTTCCTTTTTAAAAGATTTAAGCATTAAAAAGTGCTTAAGAAAGGAAAGCTAAGAGTTAGAGTCGTGGCTCAGGTGATACACACTAGCCAATGAGCAACAGTATCAGATATTGAGTTCAAGTCCTGGTCTCAAAAGAAGAAAGTTATAGTATAAATTCCAAACTACTGTGTAAGGAATTTAATAGTTTAATTTTTTTTTGGGTCCGGTCATGGGGCCTGAATGCTGGGGCTGGGCGCTGTCCCTCAGCTCTTCAGCTCAAGGCTAGCCCTCTACCACTTGAGCCACAACGCCACTTCTGGCTTTTTTCTTTTTGCTTATGTGGTGCTGAGGAATCGAACTCAGGGCCTCATGCATGCAAGGCAGGCGCTCTACCACTGAGCCACCTTTCCAGCCCCAATAGTTTAATTTTAAACAGAGTTTTGCTTTAAATATTTTGTGTCACGTTATAGAGTATTACCTTAATTTTCCTTTTAATTTTCTTTTCTGCTTCTGCTTTCATTTCTATGGTCACTTGGGGAATGACTCTTTTTCCTTGTGGAGAAGGCAAAACTTCCATCATTTGTGTTTTCTTCCCCTTGGCTTTCCCTCCTTTTCCAGGAAGCCCTATTTGTTCATCTTGTTTTTCCTTGGCTTCAACAACCTACAAAATAGATATAATGAAGAATATTAAGAACTATAAATATAACAGTCAGACGATGGCAACAGCTAGGTCCTAGTGGCTCACGCCTATAATCCTAGCTACTCAGGAGGCTGAGATCTGAGGATTGGGGTTCATTGGGCAGAATAGTTTGTGAGACTTTTTTTGTCAGTTGTGGGGCTTGAACTCTGGGCCAGAGCGCTGTCCCTCAGCTCTACAGCTCAAGGCTAACACTCTACCACTTGAGCTACAGTGCCACTTCTGGTTTTCTGGTGGTTTATTGGAGAGAAGAATTTCATATTTCATGCCCGGGCTGGCTTTGAACCTCAATCCTCAGATCTCAGCCTCCTCAGCTAGGATTACAGGCGTGAGCCACTGGTGCCCGGCAAGACTCTTATCTCCAATTAACCACCAGAAAACTAGAAGTAGAGCTATGGCTCAAAGTGGTAGAGCATGAACCTTGAATGAAAAAACTCATGGACAATGCCTAGGCCCTGAGTTCAAGCCCTACAAGTGACAAAAAACCCAAATAAATAGAAAATGGCAACAGTTGAGCTGATTACAATTGGTTAAATTGTAAGATCAATTTGAGATAAACTGTGAGACTCTTTTCTCTAATAAACCACCTGAAAACTGAAGTGACACTGTGGCTCAAATGGTAAAGCGCTCACCTTGAGCTGAAGAGCTCAGCAACAGTGGCTAGGCCCAGAGTTCAAGCCCCATGACTGACAAAAAGCCAGAAGTGGAGCTGTGTCTCAAGTGGTAAAGTGCTAGTCTTTACCAAAAAAGCAGAGGCAGTGCCTAGGCTCTTAGTTCAATCTCTAGAATCAACTAATCACCAACCAACACACCAACCAACCTACTATCACCCCCAATTTGACTAGCAAGCCTTGAAAGTAAACTGTTTTATCTTTTAAAGTTGACTTAGGGGACTGCATTCCTCATTTAAGATCTTTGTATCTTCTCAGTTTTAATTAAAGGTCTTTCCTATTGATTTTTATAAAAAGTAATCTAATAGCTGTATGCCTGTAGCTCACATATAGAATTCTAACTACTCAGAAGGTTGAGACCTGAAGGTCTCAGTTTCTGGACAGTAGGCAGACAAGTTCAAGAGATGGTATCTGCAACCAACCATTGAAAAAGCTGGATTGGAGGGGTAGCTCAAGTGGTAGAATACCAGCTGAGTGTAGAAAAATGCTGATCCTGATTGAGAGTGAGAGGTCCTGAGTTAAGGCCCTGGTACTGGCAACAAGAACCCAAAACAAAGCATTTATCTCACAAACATTTACCTCAAACTATTTACTTCAGTCTAACCAGTATTTAACAATCTGTTTATATGTGTATATGTATGTGTGTGTTTGTGTGCACAGCAGTTTTCTTTGGGGAAAGGCGAGGTGGGTGGGTGGTACTAGAGGTTTGAATTCAGGGCTTTGGCAATTGTTGTTGTACCAGTTAAGCTATGCCTCCAGCTTGGAATTTTGCTGGTTATTTTGGAGATGGAGTCTAGGGAACTTGCCTTCCCTGGCTAGCCTCAACTCTCTAGATATCAGTCTCCTTAAGTGATGGGATTATAGGTACATGCCACCACATCTGGCTGCTTAACATTATCTTGGAATGTACCTTTATGCTTCCTATATTCTTTCTATGGTCAGTTGTTAAATTTCTTGATAAAAAGGCAAATTGCTGGAATATTTCATTAATAAAAATTTTAACGTGCATTATATACTACATACCTCTAATTCTTCAATAAATGCAGCTAAGTCTTCTTTCCATAAATCTGATGGACTCTTTTTCTTTAATGTATCCAGTTCTTGCTCCTTTATAACATTACCAGAAAACTGAGTTAATATGTATACAAATAACATTTTTATGTAGCACACAACTGAGTTTTATTTTTCCATTAGAATGACACTAAGTAACACATACAATCCCATTAACAACTTACCTTTTCATTTCTTTGTTTACATAGTTCATCCTTTTTTTCCTTGGTTAGATACCAAAGGGGCATATCAAGAAGGTAGTTGAAGGATGGCCCTGAATCTGGTACAGATTCATTCTTTTCATTGTCACTTTCTTCATTTTCTTCCTCATCTGGAACCTAAAGGGTTAATTAAAATGTAGAATTAAAATGAAATGTCAACACAGTGGTGCTTAACAAAATTGTTAACCAAGGAATTACCTTTTGTTGGGCTTCTTTCCAGGCTTTCACAGGATCTGAATCATATCCCCTCTGGATCAGAACTTTAATAAGTTCTTTCTTAGGCTTGTTTTCTAATAAAGAATGTACAGAGTAGAGAGAAAATACTTTTAAGTTAAGATTTTAGGAAAGGGACAAGGTTTTACCACAATAAGTCAAAAGATTAAAGCTGTACTCTTTGTTTTGCACATATATATGTACATCCTGGTAAATAGACAAATCTCCATAAACCAAGGGCAAGTGTCAATTACTGGGGGCAGTCAAATAATTTGAGGTGTGATCCAATCATAATTTTTTTTTTTGGTCATGGGGCTTGAACTGTGGGGCTGGGAGCTGTCCCTCAGCTCTTCAGCTCAATGCTAGCACTCTACCACTTGAGCTACAGCACCACTTCCGGTTTCCTGGTGGTTTATTGGAGATAAGAGTTTCATGGCCTTTTGAACTGTGATCCTCAGATTACAGTAGCTAGCATTACAGGCATGAGCCACCGGCACCTGGATCCAATCTTATTTTTTGTTGGTCATGGGACCTTAACTCTGGTGGACCCAATCTTATTTTTTGTTGGTCATGGGACCTTAACTCTGGGCCTGGTGCTGTCCCTCAGCTCTTCAGCTAGTGCTCTACCACTTGAGCCACAGTGCAATTTCTGCTTATGTGGTACTGAGGAATTGAACCCAGGGCCTCATGCATGCAAGGCAAGCACTCTACCATTAAGCCACTTTCCCAGCCCCAATCATAATTCTTAAAGGAATGAAAATCTTTATTTTTGGTATGTTTCAGGAATAAAATCTACCTCAACTATGCTCTCTGGCTTATTTCAACACTTGATAGTACATGGTTTAGTGCCACCCACCTAAAGAGTGATTTTTCTTGTGTGCTCCATGATGCATTCATTCCCTTTTCCCTATAATACTACTATGTCTGCTGCAGTCAATTTATTGCACTTTGAGGTACAATGAGTCATTAGCTATATTACTTTTGAGAATCCACCATCTTCCAATTAACTTGACAGATTACAAATTTAGATTATTTTTATTCCTCAAGAAGACTGGATAATGTCTATGCTTAATTCCAGTCAGCTAAGCCCCTTTTTCCCTTCAAATCATGTCTATAGTCATTTATTTTACCTTTGCTTCAAGCAGTATTTGTGGTATAAGGGGGTTGATATGCTAGTCCAAGTAATTTTAGTGTATATCAAAATAAACTTGACTGTAGGTGTGGCTCAAGTGTTAAACACTTGCCCAGAAAGTCAGGCCATGAGTTCAATCCCCAACATCACAAAACAATATCAAGTTCTGATATTTTAGCAGGCACTTGTGGGTCTGCTTGCAATCCTAACAAACTGGGAGGCTAAAATAGGGAGGTTCATGGTTAGAGGCCAGCGTGGACAAAAAAACTTTTCATATGATCCCTTTGCCAAATAGCTGGATACCATGGCCTGTCATCCTAGCTTTGTGGGAAATACAACTGGGCAGCAAGTGAGGCTCAGTGGTAGAACAAGCTTGAACACAAAAAGCCCCAGTACTACCAAAAAATATGAATAAACAAAACAAAAAACTCCAAGACCATGTAACTGATCATGTCAAGTATTTCTTTGTATCATGAGAAAAATCAGCCAGTGATTTACTAATATCTTGTGTTATTATGTTTTGGAATTTGCTAGTTTAACTCAATGAAATTAGGTGGCTTTTCTAGTTAGCTCTGTCAAAAGGTAAACCTTTTTTATCTCTTCCTATTTCTGAAGCTTGGTGGATTCAGAGCCTCAAGCTCTAATCTAGCCTTTTTGAAAACTCAAGGCTGGTGCTCTACCATTCGGGCCAAACCTCTACTTCTTCCAACCTATTTCTTTAATTTTCCTTACAGTCTAGCTTTAGTAAAGACTTCCCTTCCTGGTCACTTAAACTTTTAGTAGCTTTTTCTAAGTAGCAATTTCTAAGAAAAGTCCCAGGATGGCGGGTGGGGGGGATGGGGGTAATGGCTCAGCAAGGTTGAGGCTCTGAGTTCAAACTCTAGTATGGAATTAAAAAAAAATTCCTTATGATTAATGATTGTTTGCCTGGCCTGATTTTTTCACTCATGGGCATACATTTTATTTATAAACATCTTATAATTGTCCTTCTTGCCTTTTCCATCACATTTATCTTCTTATGATGATCAGTCAGTTTATAGAAGGTGTTTTTGAGTTCTCAATTTTCTTCTTGTCCAAATGTCAATTTAATCTTAATTTCTTTTTTTTTGTTGGTTGTGGGGGCTGAACTCTGGGCCTGGGTGCTGTCCCTCAGCTTTTCAGCTCAAGGCTAGCACTCTACCACATGATCCACAATACCACTTCGGGCATTTTCTGCTGAGGAATCAAACCTAGGGGCTCATGCATGCAAGGCAAGCACTCTACCTCTTGATTTTTTAAGATTTCAATCTGTGGGGTTAGGAGTATAATTCAGGGATAGAGGGCATGATGAGCATGTACAGGGCCTTGAGTTTGGCCAAAAAACAAAAACAAACATAACCTCACAATCGAGGAAAAGCTAACTCTGTCAAACTAGTTGATCATCAAATGTTTACATACCAATGACAATTTTTCCATCTATTTTTTCTAAGATAAAGCGAGCCTGATTGTTCAGTTTAGCAGATTCGGCACCAAGCATTCCTAGTAGCCATTCTTTTCTTAATCCATAATATTTGAGCCTGAGTTCAAAGAAGTCTCTTAGAATATCCAACACTGTGTCATATTTCTTTAAACACCCTACATGGTCAAAAAGTACCTGGAGAAGGAAAAAGTAGTGCCAAGAATCAATAAATTGGGAAAATTTAATACAAGTGGCTTAAGATACCTTTTAAAATTGGTATCATTCTTTAATACAAGTAGAAATACACAAAACAAAACATACCATAGAATTGCAGGTGAGACTAGTTTGGAGTTTAAAGACTTTGTGTAATCCAACTCTCTCTGCTTCTGCCAGTTTTTCTTCAGTCATCTTTACAACAAACTTCACTGTAGTATCTGTATGATATTCCCTATAGTCTGTGATGAGAGGGGGTGTCTTCTCAGTGCCATTCAACATGGGTTCTAGAACCTGTTCTTTGTATGTCTAAGGAAAGAAATAAGCTTTTTATAAGTATTCCTGAGTAGACAACAGCAATATTACAGTCTTGACCATGAAATGAAAAAAAAAAAATGAAATCTCTAATTCCTTACCTGGGTCCATGTTCTGATAGGAAGCTCTGAGATTTCAATGGTGGTGGAATTAAGAATAGCTACTTCACCACTAATTACATATTGATTTGAAGCCAGCTCTTCAATAGTACCCTTGAAGTTCTTGTAACTTGGCAGCTAAATTGAGATTTTAATAAAAAAAACTTTCTTAGTATAATACTAGAGACAAATCACAAAGATGTTCAACAATAAATCTAGTTTATATTAGCATCCTCTAAAATTCTATAGTTTACTTAAGTGAAACACGAGGAAAACTGAAGTTCCCAACAGAATAGTTACCATTGGCAAAGGTTCTTCTCCATCCATCAAACGCCGGATGTTATTTACAACTTCACGAACATCAAAGTTGGGAATTTTGCAGGACCACCCAGTTCCGATGCCTTCAGCACCATTTATTAGCACCATAGGTATAATAGGTATGTACCATTCAGGTTCAACACGTTGATTGTCATCATATAAGAACTTTAGTGTGTGGTCATCTTTTGGTGGAAATAACAACCGAGCCAAAGGGCTAAAGAAAACAAAGAACATCATTTTGAAAAACAACAACAAAAAAATTAGCTTTGACACTTCTACAGAAAGTACATGGGTTACTTTATATTTACCACATAAAAACCATCCTGATAATCAATACTCATTTAACATTGTTTATTATGCATTTTCTAGACACTAGATATTAGGGACATAGTCTAAACTCTCAAGTGCATGTTCTAGTAGTGTGAGGCAGTGACAATACATTTTATAGTGGTCTGCCAAAGGAGGAAAAAGTGATGAAGCTGGGGGCTCATGCTGGTAATAAACTTAGGGACTCAGAAAGCTGAAGTCTAAGGATTATAGTTTAAGGCCAGCTCAGACAGGAAACTTCATGATATTCATATCTTCGAATAACCATTGAAAAGCCACAAATGGAACTGTGGCTTGTGGAAGAGCCCTAGCTGTGAGCAAAAAAGCTCAGGGACAGGGCCCAGGCCCTGAGTTTAACCCTCTGGACCAGCACCAAACCAACAAAAAGGGACTGGAAAGGATGTTAAGACCTGGGTAGAGTGGCACATATTTATAATCCTAACACTTGGAGAGGAAGAAGCAGGAAGACTTGAGTTCAAGGAGGCTGCATAGTGAGATCCTGTCTCAAAACCTTAAAAAAAAAAAAAAAAGTGGAGGCTGGCATAGAGGCCTATGCCCATAGTGCCAGTAAGTTGGAAAGGAGGATTATTTGAACTTGGGAGTTTCAGTACAGCCTGGGTAACATAGAAAGACCCTGTATCTAAAAAAAAACCTAATAAATAAAAACAAGAGTTTTAAGAAAAATGAAGTTTTTTATGTTACAGATTACATTTTTTTTTTGGTTGGTCGTGGGGGCTGAACTTTGGGCCTGGACGCTGTTCCTCAGCTCTTTAGCTCAAGGCTAGTGCCCTACCACTTGAGCCACAGCACCATTTCCAGCTTTTTTCTGCTTATGTGGTGCTGAGGAATCAAATCCAGGGCCTCATTCATGCGAGGCACTACCACTGAGCCAACTTCACAGCCCAGATAAGATTACATTTGAGCTGAGAAAAAACCTTGAGTAAATCATGTGGATATCTACAGTGTAGAGTACTGCAGCTGAAGCAGGGAAGGTATGAGAGGAATCAAAAGATATGGGAGGTAGCTAAATTTACTCTGAATGAGCAGCTGGAAGGTTTTGAGCCAGACTGACCTACTTTTGAATAATTAATTGGCTACTATGAGAAGACACAATGAAAAGGGTAGCTTAGTGTTTTTCCAATGCAGAACTCATGGGATTTGTTGAGAAATTTGATGGAAATGTCAGGAAAAGGAATGAATATAAGCCTTTTAGCTTAAATAATTAGAATGATGGCATCTTACTTACAAAGACTGTTTCCTAGACAGTCTCAGGTGGCTCACACCTGTAATCCTAGCTGCTCAGGAGGGTGAGATCTGAGAGCAGATTGAAGCTAGCCCAGATGGCAAAGTACGTGGAATTATTGCCAATTAAACACCAAAAAAACCAGTAGTGGAATGATGGCTCAAGTGGTAGAGCTTTAGAACTGAGCACAAAAGCTCAGGGACAGCACCCAGGGCTTGAGTTCATGCCCCAGGACTGGCACAAAAGAAAAAAAAAAAAGTTAGAACTGGAGGTGTGGCTTAAGTTGTAGAACACCAGGCCCTGGGGCGGGGAAGGTGGCTCAATGGTAGAGCGCTTGCCTTGCATGCATGAGGCCCTGGGTTCGATTCTTCAGCACCACATAAGCAAAAAGAAAAAAGACGGAAGTGGCGCTGTGGCTCAAGTGGTAGAGCACTAGCCTTGAGATGAAGAGCTGAGGGACAGCGCCCAGGCCCAGAGTTCAGGCCCCACGACCAGACCCCCCCCCAAAAAAAATACACCAGACCCTGAACAAAAAAGCTCAAGACTCTGAGTTCAAATGCCAATACTGATGAAAACAAAACAAAAATGATAAGCACTGAGCCAGGCGAGCATTTAAAGGTGGGAAAGAAGAGAAGGACCCACCAAAGAATGTTAGTAAGTGGAGAACCTTCAGTCTGTTGTCATGCAGTACGGATAAAGAAGCATTTCAAAGACTGATTAATAACCATCTTGAGCGGGGCGCTGGTGGCTCACGCCTGTAATCCTAGCTACTCAGGAGCCTGAGATCTGAGGATTGCGGTTCAAAGCCAGCCCGGGCAGGAGAGACTGTGAGACTCCTATCTCCAATAATCCACCAGAAAAACCGGAAGTGGCGCTGTAGCTCAAGTGGTAGAGCGCTCGCCTTGAGCTGAAGAGCTGAGGGACAGTACTCATGCCGAGTTCAAGCCCCACGACCGACAAAAAAAAACAAAAACCATCTTGAATACTGCTCAAAAACTGAAGATGAGAGCTGAAAATTAACCTTTCATAATACTTATTACAGCCGACATTTCAGATCTGATAGTTAGGAAAAGCCAAAGTTTTCTTGTTATCTTTTTCAAAATTGAGAGGAAGCAGGTGCTGGTGGCTCACTTCTGTAATCCTAGTTACTCAGGATGCTGAGATCTGAGGATCATAGTTCAAAGCCAACCTGGGCAGAAAAGTCTGTGAGACTTATCCCCAATAAAACACTCAGAAAATTGGAAGTGGCCCTGTGGCTCAAGTGATAGAGTGCTAACCTTGAGCTAAAGAGTTGAAGGACAGCAAGCACTCAGGCCCAGAGTTCAAGCCCCACGACTGACCAAAAAAAAAAACAAAAACAAATTGAGAGAGGGTATCACTATGTAGCGTGTGCTAGGCTCAACTTTTCTATATAGACAGGCTAACCTCAAATTTTCAGTTTTCCTCTCGGAAGTGTTGGGATAACAGATGTGCACACTGTGTGTATGTGTGCATGTATGTGTATATGTGTGTGTGTGTGTGTATATAAAACTATTGTTATTACTATCATGTTTTCTGGTGCCAGTTCTGAGGCTTAAACTCAGGGCTTAGATATTGACTCTGAACTTTTGTGCTCAAGGCTAGCACTCCACCTCTTGAGCCACAGCTCTACTTTGGACCTTTTTGGTAGTTAATTGAAGGTAAGAATCTCATGGACTTTCTTGCTGGGGCTGGCTTTGAACTGTGATCCTCAGTTCTCAGCCTCCAGTGCCAGGGCCATACCAGGTTCTTTCTGCTTTTCCCACAAGGCTTGAACTCTGATCCTCATGCTGATTGCTTAGCACCTACCATTTAAATCATACATCCAGTCTTGCTTTTTTTGCTAGAGGAGAAACCTAGTGGACTTTTGTGCCTGGGTAGAGTTAGGACTACAATCTTCTTGATTTTAGGCTCCTGAGCATCTAGGATTATAGGTGTGAGCCACTGGTGCCCAGGTTGCCTCATTTTTTTGCCTGTACTGGGGCCTGAGTTGAACTCAGGGCCTAGACACTGTCATTTATCTTTTTTGCTCAAGCCTTGTGCTGTTCTACCACCTGAACTACAATTCCACGTCTGGCTTTTTGGTGGTTAATTGGAGTATCATGGACTTTTTTGCTAGCTCAAAACTGATCTTCCAATCTCAGCTTTGTAGGTAGCTAAGATTACAAGTGTGAACCACTGTTTTCTAACCTTGCTGATATTGACCATTTTGGGCCAGAAAATTCTTTGTTGTGAGGATTTGATTTGGGCTATTTGTAAATGCCAGTGTTTCCTTCCTAAATAACTGAATTTTTCCATTTTGGGCTTATACTGTCAAGACTGGAATGGCAAGAAACTAGAAATTGAATTAATACTCACCTGAGCATTGTAAAGATGTATCGAGGGCTAGCAGAGTCTTTGCCACCGTGCAGCCTGGTACCAAACTGACCAATGGGCTGCAATAGGTTCAAATTATTGCTACCCACAAAATTCTGAGCCAAATTGATAATGGTCATCATTAATGACATCTGGGTGGGGGAGAGGGTGGAGAAACAACAAAAGATTCATTAATCTGACCTGAAGGTTTTTCATAATACATGTACTTTTTAGACTAACTCATACTACAATCTTATAGTCTTATGAGGTTTAGAAACATCTAGTAATTTTTTTTCCCCTAGAGATAACAGACAGAAGTACTGGTTCCAGGTTTAGAGTTCTTGCTTTCTAATGATTTCTACCTATTAAGTCCCACTCAAATTTGAAGAAATGTTTACCTCTCTTTATGCTCAGCAAAATGAAATGTTTCCACCTCTGTCACATTTTAAATTTCTATTCTAACATGTGGCATCTTATTTTATAGGGTACGCTGGCTCTCTAGCTAAACTAGACTACTGCAAAGCTAGGGAACATATTTTAAATTTATCCCTATATATTGTGTATAAGGAAAGCATTCCAAAAATGTTGTATGAATATTAGCTCTAATTTACTTTTGGCTAGTCCCAGAGTTTGAAATCAGGGACACCTGATCAGCTGACCTGCTTGCTTGGCTAGTGCTCTATGCCACCAGCCTAGATTTATGCTAGTTTCGGAGATGGAATCCTGTTAAGAGTTTTTCTGCATTGGCTGGTTCTGAACTGCAATCTCCAGGTCTGCTTCCAGGATAGCTAGTATTGTAGGCATGAGCCACTGGCACATTATATTTTGTTTTTAAGTAGTAAGACAACATTTGCATTTAAGTTTGTAGAAACTCATAGGCAATCTAGTTTTTTAAAAGTGTCATAAATGCTGGGTACCAGTGCCTCATACTGTAACCCTAGCTACTCAGGAGGCTAAGATCTGATGATTGAGGTCAGAAGCCAGCTTAGGCAGGAAAGTCTGTGAAACTTTTTTTTTTGGGTCCGGTCATGGGGCTTGAACTCTGGGCCTGGGCGCTGTCCCTCAGCTCTTCAGCTCAAGGCTAGCGTTCTACCACTTGAGCCACAGCACCACTTCCAGCTTTTTTCTTTTTGCTTATGTGGTGCTGAGGAATAGAACCCAGGGCCTCAGGCATGCAAGGCAAGCGCTCTGCCACTGAGCCACCTTCCCAGCCCCAAAACTCTTATCTCTAATTAACCACTGGAAAAATGGAAGTGGAACTGTGTCTTAAAGCGGTTGAGTGCTAGCCTTCAGTGAAAAAGCACAGGGAGAGTGGGCAGGTCCTGAGTTCAAGCTTTATTATCAAAAACCCCCTCCAAAACCAAAAAAAAAGTGTCACACAGAAGCCTGGTGTTGGTGGCTCATACCTGTAATCCTAGCTACTCAGGAGGATGAGATCTGAGAATCCTGGCTTGAAGCCAGCCCAAGAAAAGTCCCCATGAGACCCTTATCTACAACTAGCCACTAGAAAACCACAAATGGTGCTGTAGCTCACAGTCATAGAGCACTAGCCTTGGGTGAAAAAGCTCAGGGATAGTGTCTAGGCCCTGAGTTCAAGCCTCATGACTGGCCAAAAGTGGGGGAAAAAAAGGTTCAGGAACAGTGTCTAGGTCCTGAGTTCAAGCCCCAAGACCAACATAAAACAAAGCAAAATCAAAAACGCTAAGAACAGTTCAATCATAAAATAATCAATATACATTCATGTAAAGCCAAACAATTCAGTTACATCTAAAAAGTCAACAATTTGGGGTATGCCCTTCTTCATATTTTAAGTATTTCCCACCTCTTTTATTTTACACCTGCCAATGGATAATGCCTATAAACCAAAATTAGTGTACACAATTTTTAGTTTTGTCTTTGATTCCATACACATCACAATTTTGTAACAGTAAATATTCATTTTGGATGCCTACATTTTGACATAATGAAATTATATTAACTATCAATAAACATATTCTTTTTTTTTTGTCAGTCCTAGGGCTTGAACTCAGGGTCTGGGCACTGTCCTTGAACTTCTTTTACTCAAGGCTAGCACTCCACCACTTGAGCCACAGTGCCACTTCCAGCCTTTTCTGTGTATATGGTACTGAGGAATTGAACCCAAGGCCTCATGCATGCTAGGCAAGCACTCTACCACAAGCCACCTTCCCAACCATAAATATAGATTCTTATAGGGATGTTGTTTTAGAAATACAATTGTTAGGTCAAAGGGTAATTACATTTTACAGTTTGGTAAGTTTTACCAAATTCTTTTTTTTTTTAACTATTATATAGCAGCTTAGACTTGCATCAAATGTTTAGGGAAGGACTGTGCAATACTTTATGCTATAATGCTTTCTGAAAACATAACAGATCATGTATTTACCTCACCATGATGATAAGAGGACATTTCTGCCACTGACCCAGCTAACTGGGCAACCTTTACCTCTCGTTTGTCATTCCGTTTGAAACAAGTAAACAAAACTTTTCTCTGACCTGGTTTCAAACCTTTAAAATGAAAGGACAATCATTAGTATCCTCAATTTAACAAATTTTGAGTATTAATTTCTATTTTAAAAACAGATTAACAAATCATAACTTACCATCTACCATAGATGGGATAGATCTCTCATTATCAGAATTTGAGAACAGGATAAGTTCCTTGTTTATGAAGTCATTGTATGTCAGATAAGTGGTAGTTTGTCCATATAAATAATCCTAGGGGACCAAGATCGTATCACATGATCTAGCTTAAAATAAAACATGGGTCTTAACAATATTTAACAAAAAAGCTTAGGAAATCACTATATGCCTTTTTTTTTTTTTTTAAATCAGTTGTGGAGCTTGAACTCTGGGCCTGGGTGCTGTCCCTGAGCTCTTGAGCTCAAGGAGAGTGCTCTACCACTTTGAGCCATAGTAACACTTCCGGTTTTCTGGTGGTTAATTGGAGATGAGTCTCACGGACTTTCCTGCCTGGGCTGGCTTTGAATCGTGATCCTAAGATCTCAGCCTCCTGAGTAGAGAAGATTACAGACATGAGGCACCAGTGCCCAGCCACTACACTTAAGACCCTCAAAAATTTAATTATGCAGAATCTTTTTCTTGTGTGCATGGGTGTGTGCGTGCACGCTAGTCTTGGGATTTGAACTCAGGGTCTGGGCCCTGCCCCTGAGATTCTTTTCTCAGGAATTATGCTCTACTACTTGAGCTACAGTTCCACTTGCAGCATTTTTTGGGTGGTTAATTGGAGAGAAATCTCATAGACTTTCTTGCCCAGGCTGGCTCTGAACCATGATCCACAAATCTCAACCTCCTGAGTAGATAGGATTACAGGTATGAGACACTGATGCCCAGCCCATTTTGTTTTAAAGATAAATCAAGTTTATTATTACAAGGTATTACTCATGACGTTAAGATTTTTTTTGGCTTTTAAAAAACTTCACAGGATCACTTATATGTGTAGGCCATCATTGTTTGAAACACTTATATGGTACATGGCTGTGGTTATCATATTGATTTTTTTTACTTAAATAACTTCATGTAAGTTTTAATTTGCAATAATGTCAATCCTAAAAGATAAATTGAATAGCACACTTTATGGGATATATTTAAAATTTTTACCTCAGGAAGGCCAAGTAACTTCCGTTGTCTTCTATCCTCCATAAAATTAGTTAGCCATTCCTTTCGATCATCTATCTGTTTCTTGCTAAAAGCCTACAAATTAGAAGATGAAAAAGATGTCGCCATTACCCAAAAGGTTCCAGAATCTCTCTCTGTTTTTGCCAATCCTGTCTCTGAGCCTCTGTGTTCAAGGCTACCACTTGAACCACAGCATCACTTCTGGCATTTTCTGAGTACTTTATTGGAGATAAGAATCTTATGTACGTTTCTGCAGAGTGGCTTCTAACCCAAATCCTCAGATCTCCGCCTCCTTAGTAGCTAGGATTACAGGTGTGAGCCACCAACACCCAGCCAAAATATCTTTTAAAAGAAAGAAACAACAAAAATCCTGCTTTTTAAAATATCCAATTCCTTCTCTAGGACATGTTTACTGGAAACATTGGCTGACGTAGTGATTTTTCATTATATAACTCAATTTTACCAGGCTGATTGCAGCATCATCTTCAGGTCCAGAATATTTGAATTGGATTCGATGTCTTTTCATATCTGCAAAGTATTCCTTAGCTTCTTTTGATGTGCTGGTGCCCAAACCTACAAAATCAAAATATCATTCAGCCATTTAATCTTGTACAATAGGACCTATCAAAATAGAAATTTTTTCTTTTTCTTTTTGCCAGTCCTGGGACTTGAACTCAGGGCCCGGGCACTGTCTCTGAGCTTCTTTTGCTCAAAGATACCATTCTACCACTTGAGCCACAGCTCTACTTCCAGATATTTTGTTTATGTGGTACTGAGGAATCAAACCCAGGGCTTCATGCATGCTAGGTAAGCACTCTACCATTAAGCCACATTCCTAGCCCTTAAAATAAGAATTTTTATGTTTTATTACAAACCTTTGTAATATTTGACTTTCCATTTTTTATGATTTGGAGTAGAACTTTTCCATTCTTCAAATTCAGGAAGGCTGTAGAATGCCATTTCTTGCTTGTTTTTAGACACCTATGATAAAGAAGACTTTGTTTTAACTCTGTACAATATGGGCTTCCCTGTCCACTATCACACTACCCAAGAGTTATCTGTATTACCAGGTCTGAGCAGCTGTGCCTCAGAATATCTATTTTTGTATCCTAGAAATTAGTATACCTTCACAATGGGAGTGATAAATTCCTCCAGAAAACGATGTCGTAGAAGGGAAGGCCAGTTGTGATGAATAAAATTAATTAGCAAACCTTTGATATGGGAACCATCTTGGTCCTAGAAATATTTGAAAAATCAAAGTACAAAAGAATTATTTAGAAATTAAATGAATTAGGGTTGATTAACTAGTAATTTCTAAAAAATTGTTCTACAGGAGTTGGACAGAAAGGCTATTTCACAAGTGTGGTAACACAGGCCTGCAATTTTAGAACTCAGGAGGTAGAGGCAGGAGAGTAACAAGTCTGATGCCTGTCTAGGTTAAATATTAAAACCCTGAGTCAACCAACAAAAGGCTATTTAAAAGTAAGTCCAAGCCAAGTGTCTATGGCTCTTGCCTGTAATCTTAGCTACTCAAGAGGCTAAGATTTGAGGATAAAGGTTAAATGCCAGTCCAGGCAGGAAAGTCTGTGAGAATCTTACCTCCAATTAGCTAATAAAAAAGCTGGAAGTGGAGCTAGAATGTTAGCCTTGAGAAAAAGAGCTCATGGACAGCTCTTAGGCCCTGAGTTTAAGCACCAGGACTGGAACACATACCAAAAACTTAAATCTAACCTGTAAATGTAATATGAGTATCTAATTAGGCATTGATTGGGGATAAATCAATCTCCTATTAATATTTCTTTTATTGCAGAAAAGTAGTCAATAAAAGATGCCTAGGTAGTTGCACAGGTTTGTACATAGTCAAGAAACTGAGGATTGTATTTACACATGAGATTCAGACTAAATAGTGGGGCAAAATAGTGTGATCATCTCAAAACTATAACATATTTAATTTAGCTTAACAATCTAAAATAAATCTGACCTGATCTGTCATAATCATTATCTTTCCATAACGAAGAGTCTTCAATGAATCTTCATCTTCATAGTTTTTTTTATACTGAAGACCAACAATCTTGATGATATTGTTAATTTCTGCATTTTCCATGATCTGAAATGGATATATTAGGTATCAAAAATAAATAGTTTTGCTTATAAAATTGAAAACACCAAAGAAATAAGACAGTATGTTTCTTGAGTTTTCTTTTGAACTCTAGTATTTTGAATATACTTTAACAAGCCAGAAAGGTCTATAAAGACAGACAGGTTCTGGTGGCTCACATCTAAAATCCTAAGTACTCAGAAAAGTCTGAGAACTGAAGTTCAGGGCTGGCCCAGGGAGACAAATCCTGAAACTATCTCTTTAACCAGCAAAAAGCTAAAACTGGAAGTGTGGCTCAAGCAGAAGACCAGCTCTATCCGTTGCCCAATGTGCTGTGAACCAAACCCAAAGCTTTCTGTATGCTAAAGTACACACAATTTCTTAAAAGGCAGAAATCTAAGATATATTTCAAAATGTTCTTTTTTTTTTTTGGTTGGTTGTGGGGCTTGAACTCTGGGCCTGGGTGCTGTCCCTCAGCTCTTCAGCTCAAGGCGAGCGCTCTACCGCTTGAGCTACAGCACCACTTCCGGTTTTCTGGTGGTTTATTGGAGATAGGAGTC